ACCCATGATTCTTGTAGGATATCATAAAAGTGGTGCATACAGGCTATTCAATCCAATCAATGAGAAGATTATATTGAGTCGAGACATTGTGATAGATGAAATTTTTTCCTGGGATTTGAATTCTAGTAATTCAATTAATAAGCTATTGATGACCTCTGATTTTGACGAAGAAACTGATGAAGTCGAAGTTGATGGAATTATTGAGAACCCAGTCGAAGTCGAAGTAGAAGCAGTTGTTGACATTCCCGACACAGTTGAAGTCGTAGAGGATGTGGCTGACATAAGCCATAGACCTCAGCAAAATAGAGTTCCTCCAACAAGACTTCGTGATTATGAAGTGGTAGGTGATGATGAAGTCACACCAGATGGAGAATTAGTTCATTTTGCTTTACTTGCAGGTACTGAATCAATTAACTATAGTGAAGCTTTGAAGACTAAACAGTGGAAGTTAGCTATGGTCGAAGAGTTATAGGAAATAGAAAGAAACAACACATGGGAGTTATCCAGATTGTTGGTACAGATAAAAGCTATCAAAGTAAAGTGGGTGTTCAAGTTTAATCACAATGCTTATGGATCGATAGCAAGACATAAAGCAAGATTAGTAACTAGAGTTTTTCTTCAAAGAGCATGACTCGACTACTCTGAAGTATTAACTCCATTAGCAATAATGGAAATTGTTCGATTAGAGGTAGCATTGGCATGCAACCAAGGCTGGTCGACATTTCATTCAGATGTGAAATCAACATTTCTGAGTGGTCCTTTAGACGAAGAGGTAAATGTCACACAAATTCCAGGATTTGTGATTCAGAAGGAAGCGAGTAAAGTATAAAAGTTGCACAAAGTGCTCTATGGTCTCAAGCAGGAACCTAGGGCATGGAATAAGAAGATCGACTCATACTTAGTGGAATTGTGATTTTTAAAATGCAAGTCTGTGTATGGTGTCTATGTTCAGGTTGTAGCACAAGATATAACAATCATCTACTTGTATGTCGATGACTTGCTGGTAAATAGAAATAGCTTGGAGAACTTGTCTAAGTTCAAAGAGCTGATGATGAAGGAATTTGAAATTTCGGATCTGGGAAAATTATCTTATTTCCTAGGCATGGAATTTCAAATGTCGAAGCATGGTATGGTGATACATTAAAGGAAGTATGTAAAAGAAATACTCAAGAGATTCAGAATGGTTGATTCGAATCCTGCATCCTCACTTGTCGAACCAAATGTGAAATTTGTAACGAATAGAGAGGAAGACAAAGTTGATGTATCTTTGTTCAAGCAAATTGTGAGATCTCTGAGGTATGTGTGCAACAGTTGACCTTATATAGGTTTCACTGTCAAATTAGTGAGAAGATACATGAATGAACCAAGGGTATCACAAATGAAGGCTGCAAGAAGAATCTTGAGATACTTAAAAGGATCAATAAACTCTTGAATACTATTTCGACGAGACTCTGAAAGAAAATAAGAAACAATTAATTGTTTTTCAGATGCCGATTGGTGTGGAGATAAGAAAGATCAAAAAGCACAAATGAATATTTCTTTCAACTATTTGGTTCCCCAATCTCATAGTGTTCGAAGAAGCAACCTGTGGTGGCATTGTCAATGTGTGCAGCTGAATATATTGTAGGATCCTATACTGCATGTCAAGCAATTTGGATCAAATTTGTACTTGAATAAATGAAGGTTGAAGTGAAGAAATCTCTTGTGTTGCAAATTGACAACAAGTCAACCATAAATCTGGCGAAGAATCCAGATCTGCATGGAAGAAGTAAACATATCGAAGCTAGGTTTCACTTCTTGAGGGAAAAAGTAAATCAAGGTGAACTTGAAGTTAGGCATTGCTTAAGTGAAGCACAACTGACCGACATTTTCACCTAAGGATTGAAGATTGACGAATTTTTGAATTTGAGAAAGAAATTAGGAATAATTCAGATTGACTATGACTAGCTTATGTTCGACAACTTGGATTATGTGGTGTATTTAAATATTAAATTAGATTTAATATTTAAATATAATCTAAGTTGTGTTAGTACAAACTCAATTAAGGTTGTATAATATATATATATATATATATATATATATATATATATATATATATATATATATATATATATATATATATATATATATATATATATATATATATATATATAGAGAGAGAGAGAGAGAGAGAGAGAGAGAGAGAGCCTAGTTAAAAAATATAATGAGAATGTGTGAAAGATAAAACGAACAACACTAAAGTCAATAATAGACTATTTGGAGACGACAAACAAGTCACTTAATATGATTTGCACAGTTTCTTTAAAAATATTATGATTTAATATATTTTTGATCTTTATAAATATTTTAAATTTCATTTTATAAAAAAATAATATATTTTAGTTTTTATAAAAATTTTATACATACAGTTTTAGTCTTTGTTAATTTTTAAAATTTTGAAAATTGTTTATTTTCCTTTAACTTTTAAATTTTTGAATGATTTATTTCATACAGGTTTATAATATTATAAAATATTTCTTTAAAAAATTTTAAAATAAAAAGAATTAAATATAAACTTTTTAAATTTCAAAAGATATTTATAAAAGTAAAGAAAATTTTGACTTAGAAATCAAATTTTGAATTTTTTTCAAAGAATTTTTTATACATTTTAAACATGTCTGCAAAATAATCATACAAAATCAGAGTCGTCTCAAGGTTTTGGAAGTCCTGTGTAGGTTAGCAACAATTTAATCATGAAAAAATAAATTGAATCCCTACTTAATCACAATTTAATCCGACAAATATTTTATGAGGCCTTATTTACATATAGTTAGTTCAAAATCCACCACAAGCACTTTTTCAAACAAAACATGTTCAAGTGATCTAGCAAGCAACTAAGAGCCTGTAGATAACTACGCATGAAAAAGACGCTAACACCTTCCCTTTTCATAACCTACCCCCCGAACTCAAGAAAATATCTCAAAAGTCTTTCTTGTTCTTTTCACTATTTCCTATTTGGATAAAAGAAAAGTCGGTGGCGACTCTTGCTATCCGCAACAATTGCGATCAAATGCAAAATAACCAAGTCAGTTCTCCCACCGTATTACACAAGACTTGTCTTTATCTCGCTACCACATAATATTTCACATTTTTAACATGTATTACTAAATTATTATAGCAATGTAACTTACTTGCTATAATATTTATGAATTACTCATTACTTAAAACATGATTACACACCATATGCATGTCTTTTATAATTAAGTCGCCTCTATTCTAACTACATCCAAACTTAATTTTCAAATATCTATCATTTTAGAGATGGTTTTGACAGAAGCCAAATTACAGAATTTTACGTTAATAAAAATTGAAAAGCTGCTTCAGGCAAATAAAAGGACTCTCAAAGAATTTTAATCAATTCCATATCCAGATGGTTATGTTCTACAATAGTTAGGAAATAGACTCATATATGATGAACGTAATTAAGATGCATCGATAATGAGATCGGAATTCACAACTCTATTCAACGCTCTTACAGGTTAGTCTTCGCGATTACTAATTTAATTTCAACATTACCGTTCTATGTTTGGCTTCTTATTTTATCGTTTCTTTATCATATTTAATCATTTACATTTCCTGTTATTAACTATTTTTTTTATGAACAAAGAGGTATCTATGAAAAAATTATGGAAGTTGTCCAGTCTCAAAAGGGTGATGTATTCTTCCTTCATGGTTACGGAGGTACCGGTAAGACATACATGTAGAGAAAACTTGTTGTAGATTTAAGGTCCAAGCATGATATATGTTTAACTGTTGGAACTAGAGGTATAGCTTCTTTTTTATTTCCCAGTGGTAGAACTACACATTCTTATTTCAAGATTCATGTACCAACTATGGATAATTCTACCTGTAAAGTTGAATACAATGATGATGTTAGAGACCTTTTAAGGCTGACTAAGCTAATCAAATAGGATGAAGAACCAATGGCACACAAACATGCTTTTGAAGCACTTGACAGAACTTTGAATGATGTTATGAGTACATACAATAATTCTAAGAATATGTTTGGTGGAAAGGTTATTGTTTTTGGTGAGGATTTTAGACAAATTTTACATGTTGTCCCAAGAGACAGTCGTTCAGATATTGTACAATATGCGACAAATGCATCTTACATATGGAACTCGGTCCAGGTATTAATTAACAAAGAATATGTGGCTGCATTCTGGGCCAAGAGACAATGAGAAAAAGGAAATTGCAAATTTTTTGAATTGGCTCTTGACAATTAGTGAAGGCAAAGTATCTGATCTGAATGACGCTAAGGCCGACATTGACATACCACCTGAACATTTGATAACAGGCTTCAAAGATCCTGTTGTTGGCATTATTAATAGCATATATCCTTATTTTATTCATAATTATCAATCCAACGATTACCTTAAGGGTCGAGGAACTCTCGCTTCTACGTTATAATTTGTTGATCAACTAAACAACCGCATTGTTGCCTTAATGCCAAGTTTTCAAAATCATCCATATAATTTACCATATTATATTTACATACAAATGTTTTCTAATTTATTTCCCTTACCAATAGAGGATACATACGCGATTATTACAACTTAAATTCTCTTGATAGTATGAAATTCACGACCCTAAAGTAGTTAATATCCTCACTCCATAATTTGTTAGTTCCCTATTTACGTCAGGTTTTCCTAACCATCACTTAAAGTTAAAGGTTAGAACACTTGTTATGCTCATGTGAAACATTGATCAGTCTGAAGGTTTGTGTAATGGACCCTCCCGAATGATGAATGTAAGCTTGTCTCCTTTTTATACCTATGTCCTTAAAAAATTCATACCATCTGTTGCCAATATACCTCTCTACTTACTACAATATCTCTGAGTAATAAAGTTCACACAGGTATATCTTTTTCATATCAGAATCACGAAACAGAAGACGTTTGTGACCCTTATTCAGTCGGTGAGTGATTACTTCTAGAGGAAATTTCTTCACATAACACATATTACATAAAATAAATACATACATTATCACTTATAACAGTAAATTCAAATGTTATTATACTTACCAGAATATTTTTCCCAGCCGTCTTGCCACAGTTGATCTCCTTTGTCGAGAGGAAGTACTTGTGGTTGTTTATGTACTTGATAACAACAGATTGAGTGCTTCTGCCTTTCTTTCGCTTCTTTGTCTCCTGTTGTGATTTAGAAATATCAGATGCATGTCTCATTCTCTTGTGAACATCAACTCCGCGCTCGACGAAGGCTTCAAATAGTAAAACACTTTTTCCCTTGGAAATCCTGGATATGCGGTCAACACTCACTGATACAAGTCGCCATTGCTTGCTTTTCCCCCCAACATCAACCGCGTTTGCAGATGTCGCAGCTTCACACCCTCTCTTCCAATCCAAAGTAACCTATTCCTTGTCCAACACTACATAAATCACCTTTTCCATGGTCAACCATTGCCATACCGATTCTGGCGGCAACTCATTAAGGTATTTACAAACAAAACAACATTACAGCCCATCCGACTAAATATTTTTGAGAAAGGTACAATTTATTGAATCCAAAACAAAAAGGATTTGTTTAACCAGGTGAACCCACTAAACTATTTTACCAACAAAAAAACTTATACATAAATATGTTCATTGAATCCATATACGGTCATGCATTGATACATCTTTTCTAACAATGCTAACATAATTTAACACTTCAATGTAAGTTTTTACACATAACATAATAAACATTATTAAGTTCATTACCATCATATGTCCTATCATCTACATATACATGTGGGGTGGGTTTGTCTTACCCTTCATCTATTGTATTCACAGTAGCAGCTTCTTCATCATGAGCCTCTTTGTTCAGTTCTAATTCACATTCATGAGCTACCGCAACAAACTCTTCATATGAAAATGACTTTCTTGTCTTTCCTGTCCTTATCTCATACTCCTCACCATCTTCTAAATATTGGTGATATTTCTGTAAAATGAATTCCTATGTGAATCTGACATTCCAAAGGGAACTTAAACTGCAAAAAAATTAAACAACAAATTAAAATTCTTATATTTCAAGAATATTATTTTTTTAAGGGGACATACATGTCGTTAAAGAAACAATCATACCTTGATGATCCACCGTAAACTGCATTCGTGTTCCTTGCAGCTTCAAACTTTTTCTTCCACTCTACACCAATATCCTGCTTCTCTGAATCACCGAATATCACTTTCTCGATTCTAAGCCGCCTCCACACCGTTGCTGGCGGCTTGACTTTATGACATCTCCCAATAAAACCCCTTTAAAACAAAAAATTAAAAAACAACATTCATTTCATACTGCATGCAACGGATACAACTTTGCAAATCATCGTAGAAATCAACGTTTTTCCTTACCCAGTGCTACACTATCTTAGATTTCTGTCACCCATTTTTAAAACTTTTTTAACAGAGGAGATAGATATGTTCTTTGTTGGGTACCCGTGTGAAGAAAGTGGAACAGAAAACTTCTTTTTGTTCACTTGGAATACTAAATGACGGATGCAGTTCCAACACGGATCAACACGTTTTTGTTACATGTGGTTTTTTAGTTCCAACACGTTTTTATTGTTTTCCAATTTATAATATATATTATATTATTTATATTAATTATATTATTTATAAACCATTTTTCCAATTCACCATGTATATCATATTATTTATATTATTTAGAAAACTATTATGTTATTCCAAATTTTTTAGTCCAATTATATATATTTTTTGCTTTTTTTTATTATAACTTTTTATTATTCTTTTTTTATTCTAATTACATATATTTTTATTCAATGCAAAATTTATAAATTTATATATAATTTTGTTTTTTTTTACTGTTTTTCGAGTTTTTTGTTATATGTCTTTTTATATTCACTTTCAGGGCCAAAAAGTCAAACCCATGTTTTAGCCCATTAAACTTTTCCTCTTGACCATTTATATTCTATTTAATGTAATGTTATTTATTTGATGTGCTCCAATACTTATTTGCAATTAACTTATCGCAACTGGTTTTTATTTTAGCTAAATGTAATTTTATATAATAATAGCAAAGTTGGAACCAATCTATCATTTTAATTAAAACAGTCCATATTTTATTTTTATAGTACAATTTCTTCTATTTTTACATCTAAAATTAAATATATTTTTGAATTATAAAATATCTATTATTCGAGATTTTTTTATTTTTTAGATTTATTTTGGAATTCAAATGCGTGTACCATACCGCTACCCATGCGAATGCACGGGTATCCCACTAGTTAATATAAAAGTCACAATTACACTCAAAAGTTATAAATTTTAATTAAATTTAGTCAATTCTGAAGACAAAATAAAATTTTGTTTTTAGAATATCAAACATGTCATTTTTTACTCTTCCAAAACTTAAATAAAATATACACTATATCTCACTTCGAACAACTTTTACTTCTTTGCAAACAGAAGTACCGATAACAATAACTATAACAATAACTAATATCAAATCATGTTCATTAGACTTGGGTTTGACTTGGTATCTATTCTATTTTCTTACATTAAAAATTTTATTTAAAAAAATTAAATTAAATTAGTATGTTACATTCGACTTGTTATTTGACCGATGTCACTGCAAACTTTTCTTCCACGTTTTTATTCATCTGAGCATACATTTCATTAACAAACAATTAATACGAATTTATTATTTATGTCTGGATCCAAAATCTCACTATACATTAATATTTTATGTCACCTCTAAAAATACACAAAAAGGTTATTAATTTTTCCTTCCTCATTATTTTATCTGCACTCTTAAGTTATCAGAGCTTCATCTTCTTTCCATTTCTGCTCGTCAAATTTTCTAATTATTTCTTAAATTCTCTCAGGATAGTTAGTTTATTTTAAAAATATATAAATGTTTGGTTCTTGTGTCGACTCTTGAAGTAAGAATGAGTCAACTCAGACTCAATGGAGCTCGAACCAATTAAATGATCCATCTAGAAGAGTGTGGTCAAGCAAAAATAATTAACATGCTAGATTAGAAATGCGAACCCAAGCCTGATGCAGGACAATATCTGATAGAGACCATTTAATATGCCCATGTCATACATTAGAAAGTCCAGTAGAGACCATTTAATGTGATTGGCCCTGGTAAAATTGATATGGGCCACACAAATCACTTTCAACGATAGTTCAATCCCATTTCATGATGACAAAGGCTGCCACCAGATGATGCACTAACAAAAACAGTGACTAAGATGTCATATCAAAGATGTTGGTCGCTATAGAGGAATTGTGTTTCCATAACGAAACCTTGCAAGATAACTTTAGTGATTTGCAACAGAAAGAGCATGAGAATTCGAACATGGTCAAGGACGAGGGTCCAATAGATCCTCATCCACTCGCAGTTGTGATTTGGGATGCTTAGGTTCCCGAAAATTTCAAACCATCATCATTAGTGTCGTTCTATGGAACTAGTGATCCCCATGAGCATGTGGTGTCTATTGCACCCAAATAACTATCATTCGAGTAAACGACTCACAAAAGTTCAAGATGTTGGTCATAACATTCACATAGGCATCCTTCATATAGTACATGACCCTTTTGTGGTTCTCAGTGTCAAGCCCATGGAGAATACTCGCATGAATATTTGACATGATTTAATGAGAAGATTATCAAGGTTGCCAACCTAAACCTGGAAATGTTTGTTGGATATTTCTAGACGGCTTCAAAGTCGATTCACTTTAATGAATCCTTGGTCAAAAAGTCGAAAAATTCGATCAAGGAGATTATGGAAAGAGTAGAATGTCATATCAAAGAAGAAGAAATCAATGATGAGAAATGAATCTAATATGAAAAAGAGAGAGGTAAAATAAAGTCCAAAGTGTATGGCCAACAAAGGAATCATAATTCAATATTAATTAAAGAAAAGATTGTAATCAAACCCTCAAGAAAATTATAGGAGCATTTTGATGGGAAACATTAATTAAAATACGCAACAAAAACCAACAATTTCCCTTAAGTCAATCCTTAAGAATGAGCATAATTAGTGATAGAATGGTTGCCTATTTTGGTGATTAACCATTGATGCAGAATCAGGAATGGTCACAAGACTTGAATGGATAACAACACATATACTCAGTCCACATGATTAAAGTGCCTTCAATATTAATGCTAACTATTATGAATGAAGACATTGAGATATAAATGTGGGTCTAGAGTTTTACAAACCTAATTTGGTCGAGCAACAAATACTTTATCACAAGGGTTTTATTTATAGAACCTCTTGTGTAGGTTGCAAGATAAACAAACCCATTAAGCACATTGTACCCTACAGTGTACTGTATTTCACTTAAGTACATTGTATCTTATGGTGTTTCATATTTTAATTAAGTACATTGTACCTTACGGTGTTCTATATTTCACTTAAGTACAACGTACTTATGGTGGCCCATATTGCACCTAAGTATTATGTACCTTATAGTGTACCACGTTTCTCTTTAATGATAGTCCATTTCAAGATTACACAATCAATAATCTTAACTTATTTATTTTCTCCCATTAATTTGAACTTATGTTTGTGATCCTTTACTTACTTGAGATGTTGGCAATTATATCAAATTACATATTTAATATAATAAATAGTAAGTGGTGTCTAGCAATACATTATTGCTACCCAAGCCACAAAAATGTCATGTGATATGGAAAAATTGTGATAATTTTGATGTGGATAATTACCCTTTCCCCTCATGTCTATATTGAAAAAAAGGCATAAACCGTGTCGCCCTTGTCTAGTTATGTATTGGGCCCTTAGACATTTATCACATAACGCAAGATGGGAAAATTTAATTTACGCCACTAATGTCCCTCAACATGATTTATGAAGTACCCATCAACCATATTTTTGGTTATAATGTTACAAATAATTTTTTATTGGCAATAAAGTACTCGATGTGAAAATGATACCATTATATATATATTATGGGTTTTATGTAGACAAAGATTGATGAAGACTATTGAAATTCCTTATGGATTGTCTCTTTCGATTGGATGCATTTTGCAAAACAACAATATAGGAAAGTGTTCAAGATTAATCTAGCTTGCTTAAGTTGTATGAAGGTATAAAAGGGACACATGCTGGATATAGTGTCCCAACATGTTGCTACGACGCCTGGGACTTGTGCAACAGGTCATTACTACTACGTTTTGGAAGACTTTCTGGTCAAATA